GGGGGCGGGAAGGGCGGGGGCGAAAGACGAGACGTGTGACGGGGCGAAAAAAAGAAAGCCTGAAGAAAAGGCGGGGTGTGTGCGCTCTGGCGTGCTCGGCCCGGCCTCGCCCTCTCCCTCGTTATCTCTAGTTCCGGGCGCCGTCACCTGGGGGCGCCTCCGTCGCAACCCTTGTAATAAAACCCCCCCTTTCCCTTCCCGCGTCCCTCCCGGTCCTGGACCCGCCGCCGCCGCGCGGCACGGGGCTGCCAGGAGGAGACCCCCGTCTGGGGACCTCGGGGGACCTCGCCAGGGGACAGCCTGGCCTATTTGTCCATCTGTCTGCGCCTCGCTTTGTTGGGCGCAAGGCGAGGGCGTGGGGCGCGGCACACAGCAAGTGTTGGCCGGCCCGATACAAACCGGAAAAAAGAGAGACACGGACAAAAAAGAATTTGCAACTGAGGAAAACTCGCAGTTTCCCAAGGGCCCCGTGCTTTCTAGGTATACTGTCTTCGTCTACCGCATACATGAATTGTAGACGGGTTGGCTAGCTAGGAGTATGCTTGCTCGGACCGTCAGAGATCCTTCAAAAAGTACGTAAAGGATTTTCAGATTCTTTCGGGTAACTACCGGGGCTCGACGCCTGCGAGATTCAGGGTAGGCCACCCCGCAGTGCACGAATGCACTGCAGACATGATGTTGCCTACCTACCAGGCGCCATGACAGCTTACAGGATGGCGTTGCATTAATTGGTGTGACTGAAAGTAGTGTTATATTGCATGGTATGACCTAAATTGGTTAGCAGTAACTGAAATGACACATGTCACATTATTTTTTGTCGACTTTACTGTAGCGCATTCATGCGTGTGGGGGGGGTTGCATATTCCCTCGGCGCCATTAGGCTCCACGGCCACAGTAAGCGACGGCAGGCAAGCCCGTCGGTATCGGTACAGTACGACCACAAGAAAAAGTACGGGGAGCCTATGGGGGTATTCCGAAACTTATTGTAATGTGCATGCAGGCTTCAACCCCAATCCGTGCGATTTTAATTGCAAAAAAGCAGAGTCCAGAATGCGGAATTAGTGTAGCGCGGTGCGGAAGGAGAGAGGGGCGTTGAGGAGGTCAGCAGTGGGGTCGAGTGACGGGGAAAAGGGGACGTGCGAATCACATATATCTCCCTCATATATCTATCTCCCTAGTATATTTTACAATTTTGGTTTTATTTTGTCCATAACATGTAAATGTTCAGTGGCAACAAACCAAATAACTCAAACTCGCTCTTGTCTCTTTCTCTCTCTTTCTCTTGCCATACTCCCTCAAGATACCAACTACGCCCGTGGAGGAAGAGGCTGAGGGGGAGGCTGCCGGTGCTGATCTGGCGGGGCGTGGCCGGGGTGGGGTG